GCTTGGCCGCGGCTCCCACAAGCCCGCCGGCCGCTCCTGAGTCAAGTTTGCCGGCCGCTCCGAAGTCAAGCCCGCCAGCCGCTCCGAAGTCAAGTCCGCTGGCTGTGGCTCCCACAGTCAAGCTCCCGCTCCTGAGTCAAGTTTGCTCTTGAGTCAGCTCGCTCCAGTGTCGGCTCCAGCCCCAGAGCTCGCTCCAGTGTTGGCTTGTTTAGCCCAGTGAGGGCTCCTGTTCCCGAGTTTAGCCCCCGAGCTTAGCCCAGTGAGGGCTCCTGTCCACGAGTTTAGCCCAGTGAAGGCTCCAGTTCCCATGTCGAGCCCAGGAAGGGCCACTGTTCCCGAGTTAGGCCTACGGAGGGCCTCTAAAGACGATATTCTCCCCAAGGATTTTTTTTTTGGGGGGGTGGGGTCCTCTCAAAATTCAAATGAATCAAATAGAATCGACTCAGAAGAGATATCAATGAATGCACGCGTGCCGCCTGATCCACAAATGCACATCTTAATCGCTACATGCACAGATCATGATACGTTAATATAAAATATTTGTATTCACAAGCATGTCTCTATTTAACCAAAATGCTGCACATTCATGCAATTCTGAATTTCACAGACACAGTTTGAAAGGCATTTGGTTGTGGACAGTGTTGGGAGTAACGCATTACAAAAGTAATAATATTACAGTAGTATATTACGTTTTGCTGTAACGCAGTAATATAACGCATTACTAATCAAATTTGGGTAATATTATTACTCGTTACAATCTCAGTAACGCAAGTTACAACAACATATTTTAACTCAAAATTAAGTGGTGAATTTACCAACACCGCAAAACAGCACCAGAGAAAAAAATCCCGCGGGTAAAATAGTTTGTCTGGTCAGCTATTCTTGTGGGGACTCTCCATAGGCGTAATAGTTTTTCTACTGTTCAGACCGTATTTTCTAGTGTCCTACACCAACCCTACCCCTAAACCTACCCCTCACAGGAAACTTTCTGCATTTTCTAAAATATGAGACACCAATGTTTCAGGAGTTTAGGACACAGAATAGGACACGTTATACGATAACCGGGTTTATGTAGATGCTTTTTTATGATTAACTGTTAGATGCCTGTGTTTCCTGTCATAGCTATGCAAAGATTGGATTTCAAAAACAGTATCATAGCAATTAAACTATTTCTTGTTATATGTAAGTAAGTAAGTATGGTTTTAAATCTGAATTTAACCTCAGTACGATCTCAAAGTAAAGAGAGGTGATTTTGTGTTGGATGTGCTTTAAAAATAAATTATAAACTTAATTCAAATGATGAAGGATTCTGAAAGTCTGACAGTAATGAGTGTTGAGTACCACTGTAAGGTTAACCCTGCCTGCTTTAAATGTTTCAAAATGATTAACATTTGAAAACATTCATTAGAAATTTAGAAAATTTATCAAAAAGTAATCAGTTACATTATTTTAATAAAGTAATTGAAATAGTTACACTACTTATTACATTATAAATAGGGTAACTTGTAATCTGTAACAACTTATTACATTTCCAAAGTAACTTTCCCAACACTGATAGTAAGAAACATCTGAATTTTTCTAATCGATGGGTAGATGTGCACACATTAATGAATAGTGCAGGGTCTTATTAATTGGTAGTTGTTTTTGTGTGGGTTGTGAAATGCTGAAAACTGCGAAAATAAAGTCTCAAAATTCTAATGAATCAAATAGAATCAACTCAGAAGAGATGTGAATGCACACGTGCCACTCGATCCACAAATGCACATTTTCCTTGTTGCATGTGCAATTTCTGATACACTAATGCAAAAGAAATCATCTGTATTCACAAACATGTTTCTATTTGTACTAACTGCTGCAGATTCATGCTAATTCTGAATTTCACAGACACAAGTTGACAGACATTTGGTTGTGGATAGTAAGGTGCATTTGCAACATTTATCAAGTTCATGGATAATTGTGCATGTATTCGTTAGTCAATTTGAGACTAATTTCATCCCATATGAAACTGCCTCACTCATGGAAGTGTGAATCAGTGTTGCAAGATAAATAAGCAACCGCAGCTTCAAAAACAAGCCCAATATTATTTGATTATTTATTATCATCAATATTATTTATTATCAATTGTTTATTATCAATAAATCAGCCAAACCACTCTCAGAGTTTGAAGAGCTGAAACAGAAGTTATTTTACAAAAATCATCTAATTGCAACAAAGCAGGAGCAGGCCCTCATTGCCCAGGGGCACCACTGAAGAGTCTTAATCAGCCACTGCAGACACACCCCACGATTTCAATATATCGCTTATCCTGCCTGAAGTCACAATAAATTTGCATACACATATCCTAAAAACTAATCCCTTGTGACTGATATGCTGCAAATGGAATGATTTTAAGTCTAGGTTTTGGCTATCAGTCCTCTGCCAGTAGGGAACAGCAATAAGGCCACTCAAACACTTCTGGTGGCTTCCGAATTCACAGTACGCTACTCAGATGATCTACTACTACAGAGATTCTGAAGTGTTGCTATCCTACAAAGTGTTTTCTACAAAGGTTTATTTCTGATGTCTTTGATGTAAAATGCTCCTTCTGTGATCACCAAACTGAAGATTTGTCTCATCTTTTTTGGTATTGTGAGTATAGGCCTACTAAGACTCTGGAAAAACATATTGAGTGTTTTTTTGGGGTATAATTCCTGATATCTCTTTGAAATATGAAAATGTTATTCTAGGATATAGGCTACACATGAGAGTGAACAGTCATATGTTTTTATTTAATCAATCTTATTTTGTTCCTGGCTAAATATTTTATACATAAATGTAAATTTTGTAAGCGAAGGCCTTTCTTTAGAATTTTTCTTGAAGATTTAAATATCTATATGTGTATGATTTCTGACTCTGCTAATAAGAAAGCTGTAAAAACTGTGAATTTGTTAAAAAGGTACATTACTGTCTTGCTCTCTGGCATATGATATACTGTCATTGTGTTACATCTGTTTATAAATAATAATAATAATAAAAGATTCTGAAGTGTGCATATGATGGACATTTTACTATCTCATGAGGCCACAGAAGAGGATTTGTGAATGGCAGTGAAGGGACGCAACTGAAGCTGGTAGGTCATGTGACAATAACAACATGGCGACTGTAGTAGTCCAGATAACATTCGTACTACACACATACATACTATATAGAGCATACTTTTTTACAATTACGATCTAAACGTCAATTATAACACAGATGGAGATCTGAGTGAAGGAGCAAGGTCAGGAAAACATGATAATCAATAGCCGACTTTATTTGCCATGCCTACAAAGCCGATTTTTTGTTTTTAAGAATTGTTTTATTGAAAGAGTGTTTTCACTGTCCACATTTCATCACGCCTCCAAAGACAAAAATACTCTTTGTGTTTTAAACAACCTGAAACAAAATAGGCTATTTGAATATTTGCAATAAATTAAAATAGTTAGAACCAGATAAAATGCGAATAGAAAAACATTAGCTACATGTAATCAAGAATAAATTGTAGGAGAACAAAAAAAGGACAAGAAGTGGCTATAATTACAGTCAGTCGTGTTTTAGAAGCATGATGCTAATGTAGCCTATACTATTGTTGACAGGAAGTTTGTGTTCCTCGATATTCCTCAAATCCAGTGCAAAAATCCCTGGGTTCAAATAATGATGTTCAAAAACATGACACCCTTCACCCTTTCTCCGAAGTCGTTTGTTTGTTTATTTATTTTCAATATTGTTTTCACTCGCTGTGATAGGCTATATCTTCTCATTTTAACGCTGTATTTAGATGATGGAGAGCAAGTGTTGGTGGACGTAGAAGGAAAAGACCACAAAGAAATTACGAACCATGTGAAGATGGTCCTTGGCAAGTCAGAGTAAGTACATTTACATTTGTGCATTTGGTTGACGCTTTTAGCCAAAGCAATTTATTGCGTTCCTGTTGCTTCACAGTGACAGGGCTCAGTAACAAATAACCTAATTTGATACCTGAAACAGCTGCATCTTGCCATTTAAGTGTTGGCTTTGTGTTTTACTTTTTTTTTTTGAAGAAGAAGAATATACATTTTTAGTAAAGTATACACTCATAGTATCATCAGCTGCAACGTCTTGACACTGTTAGATGTGCAAAGAGCAAATCTGCGGTTCTAACAGAAATGATGCCTACAAGGCAAGGTGTTAAAAACATTTGAGGCTTCAGCCCTTAGCATCACCTAGTGTACAACCAGTGCTAATACCAGTATTACCATTTGAAGGTGCATCCCAACCTGATTACAATGACTGATAAATATGTAATTAAAACACATGTGCCTGTACTCTGCTCTTATGTCTCTTTCTGCCCACAGTAAAGTTCTTGAAGCTGAAGCTCTGGCTAAAATGGAGTTGTCTAACCCTGCTAACTTTGGGCCCAAGAAATATTTCCTGCGGGAGTGTATCAGTGAAGTGGAGGGTCAAGTTCCTCATCCTGGTTTTGTCCCGCTTCCCAAAGAGATGACTGGCAAAAACAGGGCTAAACTGGCTGCAGGCTCTGGCGAGTAGATACTGTTTGGGATGAATGTGAAAATGCTCAGGACGCTTTACATAAAAATCAACAACAAATCTTTGGGGTGGGTGAACATGATTTGAAGTTTTGTGACTTTCACTCAGACTGTGACTATGGAAAGCAGACTTGTTTTATGAACTTAAAAAAAAAAAAATTTGGTGGCTTGTTCTTGAGTAAATACCTACAAAATGAATCACCACATTTTCATTCAGTGAATTTTATTAATTATTAGTGTTACATTTATGATACCGGATATTGCTCAGTGTAAACGCAACATAATCCAAAAGCTAATGGACAGGTTGTTAGTCACAATATGTTACTCCGATCACAAAAACATAATTACAATTACAAAAAGCATTACATTCAGCCACAGTCTGTTCTCTGTACAGGAAAGCCTTGAGTTAATAGAAGACAGAACTCACCAGTTTTTATGTCTTTTTGAAGGACTGATAAAACATGCAAGCAAAATCCAGGAGATTTAACATACAAATGGTACAGTTTTTGCACAGCTATTTAGAGGCGCAGCAGGCAATTATGATAACTATGCATAAGTTTGTTATGCCAACACTGGTTTCCATAACATTGGATGTATTTGTATAATTGCTTTATACATTTAGGTGCAATAGAAATCAGTACTTCTAATGGAATAAAACAATGTATACTAACTAAAAAACAGACATCTGTTATTACTTTTATTGTACAAGCCCAAAAAACAAACACAATTATTGATTTTTGGGTGAACTATCTGTTTAGTATTACAGATTTGTTGAATCAGAGTTCAAATATTGTTTCTGACAGCATCAACTTCAATTGTATGGACAAAAATAGTTCCAAAGGAAAAAAAAAATACAATGGTTTGGAACGACGAGTAATTAGTGAAAGGATTTTCATGTTTGAGTGAACTATCCCTTTGATGTTTCAAAGATAGAAACACAGGAAATCAAGGTTTCTATTTAGTGAAGTGCTGGTTATCCATTAGATCAATAATAATACAAAAAAAGTTCAAAGCTGCAGGTGTGCATTCAAGCTAGACTTTGATACATAAACTGAGATTTTCATAAAATTCTAAAGCAAAATGTATTCTGAATCGAAGTAGCTATGAGCATGAAATACTGACTTTGCTGAACAGAAAATTCTTTACTTCAGATATTTCAACCACTTCCATAAAACCTACCTATTTATTTGACTTGAAACTACATAATGCAAGATTAAGATTTTGTTGACATACAATATTTGAATATTTAGCAAAGCCAAGACTCGCTATGTTTAAAAAAAAAATTAAATTACAAATTTAAATCAATGCAACAGATATTCAGTTGTTCTGATCACAAATTGTCCTACTTCTATGCATTCTTGCATAGAAATTTTTTTTATATTTTTGTCAAATGCATCAGTAGCTTACATTGTTATTTGTAACTGAAAACAAGCCTCATCAATTACAAAATGAGTTTGTGACGGCCACTATTTTTTTCTTTTCTGCTCTTGTAGTGTTTTTTGCAGCTCCTTTAGGTTCTCAGACAAAAGCTCCACTTCATCAGAGCGTCCGCTCAGCTTGGCGTCAAAGATATATGCCCGGATGTTATCGATCTGTTGTAGAAGTAGCTCTTCCTCAATCATGTCATCAACTGCTGTGCCATCCTCATCATCCTCTTCATCAAACGGATTGGTTGAGGCAGCTGGAATCTCATCGGAAACCTCTTTAAAAGGGTTACCTCTATCTTCATAATCGTCATCTTCAAAAGGATTTCTAGCTGACTTCACTTTAGCTGTACCTGGTTCTTCCATTTCATCGTTTTCTCCCTCAAACGGGTTGTGCTCTTTCTTTCCATTGGCTGTCTGAGAGTTTGTCGGTTCTTCCTCAGCAGGAGAGAAACGCTCCTCGTCAAAGGGGTTTCTGGTGGGTGCAGTTGGTGTGTGTTTATCTCTTTGCCTCTCTAAGGGAGGAGAGTTTCCTAATAGACGTGACAAAGACTGTGAAGACCCAGGGCTTCCAATCAAATGTTCTCCCTCCTCTTCTCTTTTCTGAACATCTTCTCGGTCTCTGAAATCCAAGGAAGAGTGTTTTGACTGGTTCCTGTACTCGAGCTCTCTCTGCTGCAGATGTTTGATCTGTCTCTGCTGCAGGTCTGTCTCCTCAGCGAACCTCTGTGAAAGCTGGATGGCTCGACTGGTCTGCTGAGCGTCAAACTCGTCCTGCAGCTGCCGCAGGTTCTCCTCCAGCATGGCCACTTCATCGGTGCGGTTTGCGGAGCGCGCCTGCCGTAAGAACGACTCTATGTTTTTGATCTGTTGCAGGAGAGGGTCGTCCAGCTCGGAGCGAGTATGCAGAGTGTCTGATTGTGGCAGCCAGCCACCAGCTTTGGTTATGCGTGGACCTGAAACGTTTTCATTTGCACCGAGGGCCAGTCGGTCATGATCATTTTCCATTCGACGCTTCTGTGCCTCCAGACCTGCCTAGGTTATGTAAGACAAGACAAGACGTTACATTATGACCTGCAAAATAATTAATTGCATCAGACCAGCTTATTATCCAGCTATTTCAGAATATTTTTTTGCTTAAGTGTTATTGTACAAGAATGAAAATATGATTTATTAGAAACTCATATCTCTAGACTACTAATCAGGGTCATCATTGATTCATTGAACTAATTCTTAAAATAAACGCACTGATTTGATTAATTGAATTCATCGACAGGTTTGTTTAAGCTGAGCAAGTTCTGCGCAGCACTGAACACCAGGTCCGATTAATTATGTTCATTGGATCATCTCATAGGAACCTAAAACTGATCAAAACTGAAAAATTATGTGGACATTTATGGACTTGCATTAAGGCGATTTAGATCC